TTGCTAAACGTGAGAAGTGTCAGTTTGCACAAACCACGATTGACTTCTTGGGACATTGTATTTCACCTGCCAGGGTGGAAATGGACCCAGAAAAGATGCAATCGTTGCAGGCGTGGGAACATCCACAGCGGGTTAAGGATGTGCAGCGACTGTTGGGGTTTGCGAACTACTACTGCACATTTATTCCCCGCTTTGCTGCCTTGACTGCTCCCCTTTCTAATCTGCTCAAGAAGGGGGAGAAGTTCCATTGGGGTGCTGAGAAGCAGGCAGCTTTCGAGGCGTTGAAAGTTGCCTTTGCTTCCGAGCCTATCCTCAAACACCCTGATCCAGGCCAGCCATTTTTGGTAGAAACAGATGCTTCCGATGTGGCTCCTCTAGGCCTATGCTCCTGCAGGCACCTTGTTCCCGTGCACTTATTATTCCCGGAAGTTGTTGGCTCCAGAGTGCAACTATACGATTTGGGACAAGGAGCTATTGGCGGTTAAGGTCGCTTTTGAGACATGGCGACACCACCTGGAGGGGGCTCGTCATCAAATCAAGGTTCGGACAGATCATCGCAATTTGGAACACCTACGTACAGCTCGGACATTGAACCAGCATCAGGTGAGATGGTCTTTCTTTGCTTGATTTGATTTCCGGGTGACCTATGTTCCGAGTGGAGGGAATCAACGCGCCGGCGCCCCGTCTCGGAAGCCCGAGTATACCCAAAGGGAGGATAAAGTCTTGCCCCGGACGGTGATTCCGTTGGAGCGGTTTGCGGCCACCGAGGAACCTGTGGACCTTCGAGTGAGAATTCAGGAGGCACAGCGGCAGGACCCATTTGTGGCAGCTTGACGTCAAGAATTGGATTAGAATCAGAGACAGTGAAGTTCAGTTGAAGGCCTTACCGGACTTTAATGTATGTTTGGGGTTTTGGATTATTTTGAGAGACTACGGGTCATCACATCATCAATCTATGTATCTATCCATTAATTCCATCCATCTATCCATCTATCTATCTATCTATCTATCTATCTATCTATCTATCTATCTATCTATCCTCTATCCATTAATTCCATCCATTAATCAATCAATCTATCTATCATATATCCATTTGATACATACATTAATCTATGTATCTATGAATTTATATATCTATGTATCTATCTATCATCTATCCATTAATTCCATCCATCCGTCCGTCCGTCCGTCTTTCTATCCATTCAATCAATACATTAATCTATGTATCTATGAATTTATATATCTATGTATCTATCTACCTATCTGTCTGTCTGTCTACCCACCCACCCACCCACCCATCCATCCATCCATCCATCTCTCCATTTGATCCATACATTATTCTTTGTACCAATCAAATCTGATATAACTGTGATCCACCCCTAAATTCGTCTCTATTTCAATTTCCATTATTTCTGAGATGAGGTTTTTTGACATCCATACCATTTCTAACCTTGACCAGGACCAATGTCTATTAGAATAAAAAGTAAATTGCTTTTTCCCTGGATGTCTTTCTCTCCAGGCATATTAATTTCCTTAACCAAATCAAATTTGGGGTAGTGTTCTTTTCCTTTTTTTCTTATATACTTTTATAATCCAATATTTTGTCAATAATCGCATTAAAGTCACCTCCTTGTATTGCATATCTTAAATTTCATTATGTAATTTTGGGAAAAAAAATTCCTGTGGTCCATTTGGTGCATAAATTTCAACCTATAATATATTTATATTTTCTAATTCAATCTCCACCATCAATATCCTACCTTCTTTATCTCTAAAAATTTCTTTAGCCAAGATCCAATCTTTTATATATAATACCACACCTCTTTTCTTTTTTCTCTTCTTGAATGTCTCAAGTGATGGCGCTCCCACAACTTCCGAGGGCAAGGTGTTCCATTGGTTGATTGTTCTCACTGTCAGAAAGTTTCTCCTTATTTCCAGGTTAAATTTCTCCTTGTTCAGTTTCCACCCATTATTCATTGTCAGGTCTACAGGCGCTTTACAAAATAGCTTGACCCCTTCCTCTCTGTGGGAGCCCCTCAAATATCGGAAGACCGCTATCATGTTTCCCCTGGTCTTTCTCTTTACTAGACTAGCCAAGCCCAGTTCCTGCAACCGTTCATTGTATGTTTTAGCCTCCTGTCCCCTAATCATCCTGGTTTCTCTTCTCTGTACTTTTTCTAGAGTCTCAACATCTTTTTTATAATGTGGTGAACAAAACTGGATGCAGTACTC